ATATGGGTCCTATACCATCTCGTGTTTCCCTTCAAACCAGCCCCATACAACAAAAAGACCTCCTCTATCCCCTCTCCCCCAAAAGAAAAAATGGATTTAGGCATTCAAGGATGAGATTCTTAGATAGGCTGGGCATGGAAGATGGAGAAAAGAAGTCAGGATTTTTTCTTTGGGGATATAATTTGTCATTTGGTGCCTTAGAATGTGCCAGGTCACTGTGATCATTTGTTGATATCCATATCCACCACCCATGGGCTGGTTTGCTTATGAGTTGGGGGCAGGAGTGGTGGAGCAGTCAGATGTTGCTGTTGGTTCCAAAGAGAAGAGAAGAAACTAGGAGAACCAATCACAGCTCCCTTGCTAATAGGCTTCTGGACACACTCCAAGGATTCTGGGATGTGTGACTCTAGGGAAGGTGGGCATGACAAGATGAAAATAAAGGTCAAGTTCAAGTTAAAGGGAATCATGCCCACAAATTGAGAGCTGGAGTAGAAAATGGCTTAATGCTGACATTTATCACAGCCTGGATGGCTCCAAAGTCACTAAGGAAAGGCATTCTTTCCCTAGCATCCAGTGATTGCATTAATATACAAAGCTGGACACAAATGGTCTTGGGAAACACTGGGCTTCAGGCCTCCCTTCCAGTATGGCTTTTGAGACCCGAGCTTGAGCCAGCTGCAGGTACGCGCTATGGAATGTCTGCACTGGTATTGTCATCATTCATTGCTATCCAAATCTAACTCAGAGTCCCAAATCCTTCCCTCTATTTCCTCCCTAGTTGTTCACTTATTCATTCTGCAACTGTTGATCGAGACCCCATGTGCTAAGCATGCTGCCAGGTGCTATCAATAAAAAGACAAATAAAATGTGGCCCCTGACATCAAGGAACTCACAGACTAGAGGAAGGACCTGCAAGCGAACAGGCAATGACCATCACATGAAATCAATGCTATGATGGGGGTTGGAAGGACAATTTGCTGCAGGAGTCCACAGGTGGGCACCCTACCAGGTGCACTGGACGGAGATGGGAAGAGAGCATTCTTCCAGAAACCCAGAGGAGGGAGGAAAATGTGATAGATCTATCAAAAGTGCATGAAACCAACATCAGCCACTCTACTTTCTGTTCTGAGACAGTGCATATTTCCCATAAAGATAGAAAATAAAAATCAAAAATTATTTTTACCCGGTGGAGACAGCCATCTAGCATATTTGTTCATTGCGAGATGCAATCCAGTTGCACCACTAAGAATACGTGTTTAAGGTTCTCTCTTCGGTTGCTCAAGTTCCAGTAGTTGGCTATCGAAGTTTTCTTCTTAGTTCCTGGAATTTAAAAGCCATCTCAAAAGTCTCCTCTCTTTTATTTCTTGATATATCTCTGATCTCCAATGGCTCTCTATCTGTGTATTTCCTCCTCTTCTCACTCCAAGTGCCTTCTTCTCTCTTCTTGTTCATAAATCTGGGGAGAAATTCTGGAGTATTCACAGTCACCAAGAGACAACCTCACACTGATATTTCAGCACCGTGGACAGCTACAAACATTCTGGAAAAAGCAGTCCCAAAGCTCATGGTTTTGTATCAAAGCGGATTCCATGCTAGGGAGTGGAAAGAATCAAGATATCCAGGGATTTGCAAATATGTATCCACATAAGACAGAACCATTCAATTCCACTCTCCTTTTCTTGAGGACAGTAAGTTATTCCATCTCTATTTCATTTCCCAACTTTTTGGAGTGTCAGTGTGTTCATTTCCTATAGCCGCTGTAAAATTTCTGACAGAAACTTATCGTCTCACAGTTCTGGATACTAAACATCCAAAATCAACGTGTCTATAGGTCCATGCATCTTCTGAAATCCACAGGAGAGAATTCTTCCTTGACTTTTCTTATGGGTGCTGCCAATCCTTGGCATTCCTTGGTTTATAAATGCATCACTTGAATCTATAGCCCCTGACATCACATCTTTTCCTGTGTGTCACTCTATCCTACTTATAAGGACACTAGTCATTGGATAGAGGGTTCATCCTGCCCCAGTGTGACCTTACCTTTACATAACTACAATCACCTGTCACATAACAATGTTTCGGTCAACAATGGACTACATATAAGACAGTGGTCCCATACGATTAGACTGAAGCTGAAAAATTCCTATTGCCTAATATATCTTAGCCATCATGATATCATAGCACACTATGTTACTCACAGGTCTGTGATGATGCTGGTGTCAATAAACCTACTACATTTTATACTGCATATAAAAGTATAACACAATTATGTACAGTACATAGTACTGTACTTGATGATGATAAAATGACTATGTTACTGGTTTACATATGTACTACACTTTATTTTCTATGGTGATTTTAGAGTGTATTCCTTCTACTTACGAAAAGAAAGTGAATTGTAAAACAGCCCTAGGTAGGTCCTTCAGGAGATATTCCAGAAGAAGGCATTGCTGGGAGATGATAGTTCCATGCGTGTTACTGCCTTTGAAGACCTTCAGGGGGACAAGATATGCAGATGAAAGACTGTGATATTGATCATCCTGACCCTGTGTTGGCCTAGGCTAATGTGTGTGTTTGTGGCTTCTTTTTTTTGTATTTTGTTTTTTGTTTTGAGACAGTTTCATTCTTGTTGCCCAAGTTGGAGTGCAGTGGCGCAATCTCAGCTCACTGCAACCTCCACCTCCCAGGTTCAGGTAATTCTCCTGCCTCAGCCTCCTCCCAAGTAGCTGGGATTACAGGCACCTGCCACCATGCCTGGCTGATTTTTTTTTTTAGTAGAGACAGGGTTTCAACATGTTGGCCAGGCTGATCTCAAACTCCTGACCTCAGATGATCCACCTGCCTTGGCCTCTGAAAGTGCTGGGATTACAGGCATGAACCACCATACCTGGCCTTAGTTTTTAACAAAAATAATTTAAAAGCAAAAAATTTTTAAAAATAGAAAAAAGCTTACAGAATAAGGATATTAAAAAAGAAAACTTTTTTTACAGATATAGAATGTGTTATGTTTTATGCTGTTATTACAAAAGACCCAAGAAGCTTAAAAAGTGTAAAGCTTAAAAGTAAAAAAGTTACAGTAAGTTAAGTTTAATGCATTATTGAAGAAAGAAAAATATTTTTAGTAAGTTTAGTGTAGCCTAAGTGTACGTGTTTATAAAGTCCACAGTAATGTCCTAGGCCTTCGTATTGACTGACCACTCCACTCACTGACACCTAGAAAAATTTTCAGTCCTGGAAATTCCATTTATGATAAGTACCCTATATAGGTGTATTTTTTTTATCTCTTATACTATATTTTGGCTGTACCTTTTCTATGTTATGCCTAGATACACAAATACTTAACATTATTTTATAATTGCCTACAGTATTCAGTATAGTAACATGCTGTACAGGTTTGTGACCTGAGAGCAATAAGCTGTATATACCACATAGCCCACGTGTAGAGTAAGCTATGCCACCTAGGTTTATGTGAGTGCACTCTATGATGTTTGCACAATGACAAAATCACCTAATGATGCATTTCTCAAGATGTGTCTCCATTGTTAAATGACACAACTATCATTAAGTCTGCAGTGATCTTATTTCCAAATAATGTCATCGACTGAGGTCCTGGGTTATGAGGACCTCAGTATATCTTGGCAAAGAGGGTCACACAGTTCAACCCATAACAGTTGAATATGAAGAAATATTTCTATACTATACAAAATCAACAATATTCTTTTTTTCTGAGACAGGGTCTCTGTTGTCTAGGTTGGAGTGCAGTGGTGTGATGTTGACTCACTGCAGCCTTGACTTCCCAGGCTGAGGTGATTCTCCCACCTCACCCTCTTGAGTAGCTGGGAATACAGGTGCACCCAACCATACCCAGCTAATTTTTTTATATTTTTTGTTTTAGTAGAGATGGTGGTTTCTCCATGTTGCCCAGGCTGGCCTCAAACTCCTGAGCTCAAGAAATCCTCCCACCTCAACCTCCCAAATTGCTGAGATTATAGGTGTGAGCCACTGCCCCCGGCCAAAATCAATATTAGGTATGAAAATAAAAGTTAGGTCAGGGAAGGAGGAGTGGTGGGAGCTGTGGGGAGCTGGAGAGCACATGCCTATCTAAAGGCACACCTAGCACGCAGAAGGAATGGGGGCAGTGTAGTCCCATCTCAGACTCCTTTCTAGGGAAGCTGGAGGTCTGGATTTTCATGTAAAATCTTCCAGTTTAAAAAGGTTGACATCTGCATGGAATCAAATAAAACACATTTGTGAGCTGAATTCAGCCTGTGGATTGCTGATTTAAAAATCCAGGCCAATGGAGATCAGAGAGGGTTTCCTGAGTAAGACAGTTTCCTCTCAGCTTTGGAAACAGTTCTCCCTGGCTGCAGTAGAGTTTAAGGTGGGGAAGGGAAGGGAGATGAAACCAGGGATAAAAAGAGCAGATGAATCCTGGCAGGCCTTACAGGCCACATTGAAGGAATTTATTTATTTTTTATTGTATTATTATTATTATTATTTTCTTATTTAGAGTCTCACTGTATCACCCAGAATGTAGTGCAGTGGCACGATCTTGGCTTACTGCAACCTCCGCCTCTCAGATTCAAGTGATTTTCGGGCCTCAGCATTCCAAGAAGCTGGAATTACAGGCACCCACCACCATGCCCAGCTAATTTTTGTACATTTTGTAGAGGTAGGGTTTCACCATGTTGGCCAGGCTGATCTCAAACTCCTGGCCTCAAGTGATCCGCCCACCTTGACCATGCAAACGGCTGGCATTACAGGCATTAGCCAAAAGAAACACAGAGCCACTGATGGGTTTTAAGCAGAGGCCTGGCATGATCAGATTCACAACCTACTTAACACTATGAGCCACCTCTTCTGGACCCTGATGGAATCCCTCTCCAGATCCCAACCCTCAGGAGCAGAGGTGACCCCAGCTTGAGGCCCGCACCCTGCCCTGCACAATTCTGTCTCAGGGGTGACTTCTGGTCAAGAGTGACCTCTCATATTCTCATTAGATCTACAGAAGCTCCTGGAGATGGTTCGGGAGGATGCCCGGAGGTCAATCATGATAGAAAATGGGATGCAAAGAAAAGCACCCAGGTATGTTCTCTTGACTCCTGGGGCAAATAAAGCTTAGAATAATAGCAATCACACTAACTGTAGTAGTTGAGCATTTTCTCTGTGACACGCACTGAGCTGTGTCGTTTATTTGTATCACTTCTCTGAGTTCTTACAATAATCCTACAAAGTAGATACTATTATCTTCATTTTACAAGTAAGGAAATGAGGCTCAGAGAGGCTATGTGACTAGTTCAAGGTCACTCAGCCAGTGAATGATAAGGCCATGACTCTAATCTAGACCTTTCTTTTTGGTTTATTTTTGTTTTTGAGACAGGGTTGCTCTGTTAACCAGGCTGATGTACAGTGGCAAAATCATAGCTCACTGCAGCCTCCAACTCCTGGGCTCAAACGATCCTCCCGCCTCAGCCTCCTAAATAGCTGGGACTACAGCCACACACCACCACACCTAGCTAATTTTTTTAATTTTGTAGAGACAGGATCGCACTATACTGCCTGGGCTGGTCTTGAACTCCTGGCTTAAGCCATCCCCCCACCTTGGCCTCCCAAAATGCTGGGGTTACAGGTGCGAATCACCATATTTGGCAAATGCAGACATCTCTAACTCCAAAAACCATTCTCCTTGCCACTGCTGTGCTGCCTCTCAGGAATTCTCTGGTTATTCATTCATCCTTTGAGTGAATACTTATGAACATGTATGGGCTGTGTACTCATTATTATTGTGAGAAGTGTCCATGAAAGGAAAGCTTGAAAGTGTGAGAACAAATAATCAGGGCATTTGACCTAGTCTGGGCTGGGGATGGGGATCAGAGAAGTTTCCTCCAAGGAAGAAGCTTTAAGCTGAGATTTAGATAAAGCATGTAAATTAGCTAGCAGGGAGGCGGGGAAGAGAGTATTACAGGCAGCACATGTGCAAACGTGGTCAAAAGGGACCATAAGACCATAACACCTTCAGGAAACTGAAACACAGCCAAAATGGGATGAAACTCAAGGATTCTGGTTTTTATTCGAAGAACAGCAGGAATCCTTTGAAGTTTCAAGCCGGCAACTGGTACGATTGGCTCATAAGGAGGCACTATCCTAAGACATCCCCTTTCTGGTGGGAAGCTTTGTCCACCAGGCTTCTGACCTCTGAAAACCCCAGAGACCACACAGCCTAGAGCTGGAGTTCCCTTCCCAAGTGCAGATTTTTTGGGGGTAAGCAAATTACTTCCTGAAAATAAATGAGGCACTAGAAGAGGTTCATCATCGCCTTCAGCCCACTGGGATGCCAACTATGACTTATTGGTTATTGTTATTACCGTAATTACAGTTTACTGTGCACTTTCACATGCATCACACCTCGCCTCTGCTTGGGAAAAATGATGCATTTGCCTGCTGTTGCCTCGATTCTCATTGGGGCTGCTCTGAAAGGTGGCACTTGGAGGCACTCAGAGACAATGTTGACCCATGAGGCCCTCACTGCTGTGCCTGATTTATAAGCATTAGAGGCAGACAATAATAATGAAACATCAGCTCAGCGAGGCTCCTTCCTTTGTAAGAACTCACAGCACAAGCACTGGCTTTGGAGTCAGATCGACGTGGATCTAAAACCTGTTGCCCTTGGACATGTCATCTAGGCTTTCTCTAAACCTCAGTTTTTTCATCTATAAAATAAGATTGTGTAGCATCAAAGCACTGGCTTTGGAACCCAACAAACTAAGGTCAGTCTCCATGCCCATGACTAATTGCTGGGTGATGTTGGGTAAGTTTCTTCACCTCTCTGAGTCTGATTCTATTTCTGTAAAATGAGGCTCATTAGCAGTCTATCCCGAAGGGTTGTAGTGAGAATTAGATGATATTATCCCTGTAAAATATTACTAATGTTATAGAAATAACATCTACTTCAATGAACCATTTTAAGCATTTAGTCAGATAATGCATTTATTTAACATATTAGCATGTGCCTGGCATACAGTAAGTATTCAATAAATGGCAGTGAGGTTGGTGGTGGGGATGGTGGTGAGGATAGTTGTCACTTTTATCTCACGCATGTTGCCCCACAGAATCTTCTCCTGCTGAGACAGGTACATTCATCATTACCATCATCCCATCTCACAGATGTCAAAGAGCAACAAGCAGTGGCTTCCATAAGGTCTTCAAAGACAAAACCACACTAGAACCTCGTTCTCACAAGACCCATCACATGGCCTCTGCATTCAATTTAATGATAAAATAACCATGGTTACAGAGGAAGAATGTGTTGAAGTATCCCTTCCTCATTAATTCCTCTGGGAAAAAAAATCTCCCTAATCTTTTGCTAAGGCAGCAGATAGTGAAGCTTCAATGCAAAGCTACAGAGAGACGGTTAGAAAAAGCTGCACATTCTCTTTTTGCCCCCTCACTTTGGAAGCTGGATTTCTTTCTCACTTTAGATCCCAAATCTGCTCTCATCAAGGCTAACACTGAACTGTGGGGCTTTCAGAAATCCCTATAAGCCAGTGCATCCAGCCCCCAGCCTCAAGACCAGGCTGCCCCCAGTCATCTAAAACCACAGCCTTTTCTTAAAATCCTGCAGCGGTGTCCCTGAAGATTAGAAGCAGCTTGGGATACTTACGATAAATACAAATTTCTACACCTCCTCATCCCAGAACCCACTGAATCATAACCTCCAGAGGTAGCAAGATATATATACATTTGAGACAGAGTCTCACTCTGTCACCCAGGCTGGAGTACAATGGTGCCATCTCAGCTTACTGCAACCTTCACCTCCTGGGTTCAAGCGATTCTCATCCTCATTCTCATGCCTCAGTTCAAGTGATTCTCATGCCTGAGTAGCTGGGACTACAACTGTGAGCCATCATATCCAGCTAATTTTTGCATTTTTAGTAGAGACAGGGTTTCACAGTGTTGTCCAGGCTAGTCTGGAACTCCTGACCTCAAGTGATCCACTTACCTCGGCCTCCCAAAGTGCTGGGATTACAGGCATGAACCACCACACCCAGCCAATAGCTGTATTTTTTTAAGAAGCACTTCAGGTGGGAATTATTTCACGGTATTTTACCTTATGGTGTGGAATTTTAAGAAAGAGAGAGAGAGAGAGAAAGTGTGTGTGTGTGTGTGTGTGTGTGTGTGTGTGTGTGTGTGTGTGCGCGCGCGTGCACGTACCTATTTGTGTGATCTAAATGCAGCTTCTGGGGCCCACCTCCAGACCCAATGTATTCAAGTCCCTAGAAATGTAGCCAAGAAATCTGTATTCTTAGCAAACTCTCCAGGTGAGTGCTGTGCCCAGTAGAGTCTGAAGATTCCTGCTCTAGAAAGAGAATTCCCCCTCCTCCCACATGTAGTTGCTCCACAAAATCTTCATGTATTCAGTGCTTTGTTAAAGGACTCACTTTGCTTTGCAGCATCTTGTCAGTACTGAAACAAAACAAGAGCAATTCTGCCTATAAGGAAATGCAGACCACCCACAAGTCAAGGTAGGAAAGCCTGGAGCCTGCAGCAGGTGCCGCGGAAGGCAGCCCACTGTTACAGGGACCACTGCAGGGAAGATCCTCCCTAAACCATGGAAAGTGGGACAGGAAAGGGAGGACTTTTTCCTTCTTATGATCTCACAAGAAACAAGCCCTTTTATTGCAGGGCCAGGAGTGAGAATCCAGGCATTTCTCCCCAACAATTATACATCATCAAGTTAAAATGTTCTAATCATGGAGAAGTGAGGTAGGGAGGATATGGTACAAGACTATCTCTCTCTCTCTACTTGGCTAAGTTATAATGGGGGAGGTGGAGATCTTCCCCCAATTTATTTTAGAGAATTTTTTTTTGAGATGGAGTCTTGCTCTGTCACTCAGGCTGGACTACAGTGGCACAATCTCGGCTCACTGCAACCTCCAAACCTCCACCTTCCCAGGTTAAAGTGATTCTCCTGCCTCAGCCTCCCAAGAAACTGGGACTACAGCCATGCACCACCATGCCTAGCTAATTTTTGTATTTTTAGTAGAGACAAGGTTTCACCATGTTGGCCAGGCTGGTCCTGAACTCCTGACCTCAAGTGATCTGCCCCCCTCAGGCTTCCAAAGTGCTGGAATTACAGGTATGAGCCACCATGCCTGGCCAATTTAGAGAATATACTTAGATTCCTCATCTGTGCCAGTAACTGTGCTAGGTTTGGGGGATTCAGCAGCAGATGAAACAAACACAGCCTGCCCTCTTGGATCTCTGTATCTGGGCTGGGGTTATAATGTTTTATGTACCATAGACTCCTTGGAAGTCTGAGAAAATCTATGGACTCCTTTAAGAAAAATGTTTTTAAATACATACTACACATTGCAAAAGATTACTAAGAAATGCTTAGTAATATAGATTGCTATATTACAATCAAATTTGGGATATGGTCATCTATGCATGTCTTTCACAATGCATTACACAACAAGACTTACCAACAGGTCTAACAACTCCTGTAATGTTGAATTAATGTTGAGTATAAATGATTTTTTAAAATATCTCCCACAAATGTAACATGATAGGCAAATACCTACAATTTCCATTTTGGTTAAAGGTTAGTTCAAGTAAAGGTGCAACTTTTTTCCCCATCTGCATTTATGGACCCCTTGGATTCTACCCATGCTTAAGAATTGCTGGTCTAATGGGAGAGTCAAGCATTTCTCAGATAATCCTACAGCTGGCCATAACATCATGACTGTGAAGTGCTCTGAAAAAGTAGAGGGGTTGAGTGCTAACCAAGACTGAGTCTGAGTCTGATATTTATGCTGAGAACGTAAGGACAAAGGAGAATTGACTAGGCTATGAGGAGGAAAGGTGGAAATGCTGTTCTGAGCAGGGTCAATAGCATATGCTAAGGTCCTGAGGCAGGAGGAATCTCAGGGGCACCAAGCAAAGACCAATGCAGCTGAAACTCAAAGAGGGCCAAGCAGGGGGCACAGTGTGAGACAGGGGGAAGGGTCTTTTATTGCTTATTTCTGCCTCTTTCTTATCACCAGCTAATAACACCGCTTTCCTTACCTCCCACCTCCTCCCTGAATCACTGTCAAAGCTCTTGAAAAGAAGAGAGCCATCTACAGGAGGAAGGTCAGGGCCACCATGCTCCCCTAAAGGATTCATCTGCAGGAATTAGGGCAGCTGGTTGGAATCCAAAATCAAGGCTTTCTGGATATTGTTAATGGGGGGTCTGCATTTTCCCTAAGTAGGATGAAAAATTGCTCCATTACCTACTGGGCCTGAGACCTCCACGTCTAGTCCTGTGAGCTTCTGGGGAAACCAGCAAAGCCCAGGACCTTTCTATGGGGAGCAGTCTGGAAAATGGCCAGGACTGCCTGCCTAAAAAAGTCCCAAATGCCACAGGGGTAGAAGCAAAGGGTTACCCACACATCACAGGAAGAAGGAAACCAGTTTTACCATCCCCTCCCCCAGAGCCACACAGATAAAGTGGTCAGATCAGTTTCCCAAGCATTTGGAAGAAAGAAGGGGAAACAGGTTCAGAGAGAAGGTGCTAGACAATGATGCTGAAAGCCCCAGTCCCTAAGCAAGGATCCTGGAGAAAGGCTTGGGGGGCAGGGTGGGCACGGGTAGGGGCCCTTCATCCCCCTCTAGGAAGCTTGCCGAGGCAGAGTCACAGGAGGGGGTATCCATACGAGGATTCAATCATCCACACCTAGAAAGGGTTGGATGGCATGATGAGTTGACGGGTCACAGATGAGGAAACCGACCATCCAGAAGGGAGCTGTTTGCTCACAGACAGACAAGGGGTAAAACAGGTGTTGAGCTTCACTAAATCTGCTCTTGACCCAGTGTTAAGTGTTGGGTATGGAGAGGAGGGTGGAAAGGTTCTAAACCAATTCACCCTCCAAAGAAAACAATTCTATACAAATGAAACGGAGATCCAGAAAAGACATAATCCTGACAATATGCAGAGGCAGAAGGTCAAAGCAAAGTTGGGCTGGAGAGTCCAGATATACAGGACTTGCTGTGGACCATAAAGCAGGGTAGGATACAAGTTGGTAGAAAAGAAACAAAGAGTACTGTCTCGGCAGGGATACAGCAGGAGGAAAGCTCAAGAGGTGGGGAGAAATTCATAGAGTTCTGTGACTGATGCCTTGATTAGAACCACCTCCCTTGTCTGAATCCTGGAAGTTAGTAAGTGCCATGGGGCCCTTAAGGCACCCTTTTCTTGAAAAGCAGACTGAGCAACTTGAAACCATCCCTTTGTGTTTCAGTGAGAGATCCAGCAGTACAAGTGCAGAAAGCCACACCCAGCCAGTCCAGAAGAAGTCTAAAAAGTAAGCCAGGAGGGCAATGGAAGGACCCAGGCAAGAGGGAATATGGTGACCACACCCTCTGTCTTCCCAGGGGTATGGAAATGACTGAATGCAGATCAGACTCCCTAAAGCCATAGACAATGCTGAAGGACAAGGCACTTATAGCCAAGAAGCCGAGCAGCAATGCAAACAAGGGCAAGAAATCCCTCTGCTGTGCCAGGCACCATGAAAAGCATTCTATCTGCATTACCTTGCTTGTTCCTCAAAACCAATCCTATGAGGCAGGGGCATTAGCCCATCTTACAAAGGAACAGGCTGAAACCTGGCCACATAAAATGTCTTGCCTGAGGCCACACAGCTAAGAAGTGGTGGAGCTGGACTTTAAGCCTGAATTTCCCAGCTACAAATTCCATCTCACCATCCTTAACATTTGCTGGGCTCCAGTAACCATCTGTCTCACTGTGGACTCATTTAATAGGGTCTGAACCACCATCCTGATGCTATTGGGAAGATCTGTCCTTCCTACGTCCAGGAGGATGCTTAGGGAGGCTGAAGGTGAGGGCAGAGAACCCAGGTGGCTACAGGGAGTCCCTGATGCAGAGCACGTTGGGGCCCAGGGAGGCCAGAGTGGTTACTAGGGAGGTTACTAGGGGACATCCCTGGGCTCCATCCCCCAAGCTTTTCTTATCTGTGTCCACAGCCGCACTAATTATGACATCAACATCCAATACAAGAGTGGGGTGTGTAACACCATGAGGGCCAAGTTTTACAGCGTAGCCCAGGAGGCTGGCTTCTGCCTGCAGGACAAGATGGAAATCCTCATGAAGTAAGGGCACACATATATCCATTCATTCAAAGGGCATTCACTGGGTACCTACTATATGCATGCCAGATGCCAGGTGCTGGGGCTATATCATAGACAAGAAGAACTTGTTATCTATCCTCAAGGAGCTCACAGTCTTCTGGAAAATATGGGCAGAAATGAAGTAACTGCATCCATCAGTGTATAGGTAAAAATTATAATCATTGTCCTACTGGAAGAGAACAGGGTGCTATGAGAGAGAGAGAGAGAGCATAGGTACCTAATCTAGATTGGGAAATCTGGGAAGACCCCTCTGACGAGGTGACTTTTAGATGAGTCCTGAAGGATGAGGAAGAGCCAGCAGTGTGATGAGAAGGTGGAATGACATTCCAGACAGAAGGAAAAGTGCGTGCAAATTCCCAAGTCCAGAAGGGACATGGAGAATTTGATGAGGGCTGCATCATGCAAGCCACAAATGCCACAGTTAACACATGGGATTTGATTTTAAGAGCACCAGAAAGCCATTGAAAGCTTTTCTTCTCTCTTCTGACAACCCAATAACTTCCTCCCTTTCTAGCCTACTTCTTGACTCCAGAGGCCATCCACTCCAATGAATGCATCTATGCAACAAAGTTTGCATGATGGCCAGTTACACTCTCATTCTCATAGCACTGATGGATTGAATGCTCTGGGACCAGGGTTTGGAGAACACTAATCCTTGCCCTTTCCTTCTGGAAACTGCCAGTCCAGTAGGGAAAAGTGGAAAATTAAACAGGGAATTAGCACACAGAGGTCTAGAGGTTGTGGGAGGAAGCAGCATGCTAAGGGAAGAAAAAAGGGATGCCCCACTTGACCCCAGACAGCCCTCAGGAAGGTCTCCTTGGAGGAAACAGCATTTTCTTTGCTTTTCTTTTTTAAGAGATAGGGTGTTGCTCTGTTGCCCAGGCTGGAGTTCAGTGGCACAATCATACTTACTGCAGCCTTAAGCACTAAGTTTTTTGTTTTGTTTTGTACAGATAGAGTGTCATTATATTGTCCAGGCTGGTGTCAAACTCCTGGCCTCAAGCAGTCCTCCCACCTTGACCTCCCAAAGTACTGGGTTTGCAGACATGAGCCACCACACCCAGCTGGAAATAAACATAGGTGATAGTTCCAGAGCACTTACTATGAACCATTCATGGATGTAAGAGCTTTGGATTTATGTATCATTTAATGCTACAACAATCCTATGAGATAGGTGCTATTATTAGACTTATTTTGTAGATGATAAAAGTGAGCTCAGAGATGCCTCTTGTCAAAGGTTCTCCAGTGGCTAAGTAGTAAAGCTAGAATTCAAACCCAAGAGACATGCTGAACAACTTGGAAAATATATTTCAGGATATCATCCATGAAAACTTCCCCAACCTTGCTAGAGAAGCCAATAGTCAAATTCAGGGAATACAGAGAACTCTTGATAGACTCTACACAAGAAGATCATCCCCAAGATACATAATCATCAGATTTTCCAAGGTCAAAATGAAGAATGTTAAAGGGAGCTAGAAAGAAGGGGCAGGTCACCAACAAAGGGATCCCCATCAGGCTAACAGCAGACCTCTCAGCTGAAACCCTGTAAGCCAGAAGAGATTGGGGGCCTATATGCAACATTCTTAAAGAAAAAAATCTTCAACCAAGAATTTCATATCCAGACAAACTAAGCTTCCTACATGAAAGAGATCCTTTTCAGATAAGCAAATAAGTCCTGAAGGATGAGGAGTACAGTATCACTGTAAAGCAACCACACAAACAAGCCAACAGAGTAACCAGTTAACAACACAGTAACAGGATCAAATCCACACATAACAATACTAACTTTGAACGTAAATGGGCTAAGTGCCCTGCTTAAAGTGCACGGGTAAGGTGGATAAAAAAGCAAGACCTAATGGTATGCTGTCTTTAAGAGACTCATCTCATGCATAATGACACTTAAAGGCTCAAAATAAAGGAATGGAGGAAAATCTACCAAGCAAATGGAAAACAGAAAAAAGCAGGGATTGCCATCCTAATTTCAGGCAAAACAGATTTCAAACCAACAAAGATCAGAAAAGATAAGGAAGGGCATTACATAATGGTAATGGGTTCAAATTTAACAAGAAGACCTGACTATCCTGAATATATATGCACCCAACATAGGAGCACCCAGATTCATAAAGCAAGTTCTTAGAGACCTACAAAGAGACATAGACTCCCACACAATAATAGTGGGAGTCTTCAACACTACACTGACAGTAATAAATAGATAATTGAGGCAGAAAATTAACAAAGATATTCAGGACCTAAATTCAGCATTGGACCCAATGGATCTCATAGACCTTGCAGAAGTCTCCACCCAAAACCAATAGAATATACATTCTTCTTATCACCACATAGCACATACTTTAAAATTGACCACATAATTGGACATAAAACAACCCTCAATAAATGTAAAAGAACTGAAATCATATCAAACACACCCTCAGACATGGCACAATAAAAATAGAAATCAACACAATGAAAATCACTCAAAACTATACAATTACATGGAAATTAAACAACATGCTCCTGAATGACTTCTGGGTAAATAACGAAATTAGACAGATCAAAAAGTTCTTTAAAAATAATGAGAACAAAGATACAATATATCAGAATCTCTGGGACACAGCTAAGGCAATATTAAGAGGGCAATTCATAGCACTAAATACCCACATCAAATAGTTAGAAAGATCACAAATTAACAACGTAACTTCACAACTGAAAGAATTAGAGAAGCAAGAACAAATCAACCCCAAAGCTAGCAGAAGATGAGAAATAACAAAAATCAGAGCTGAACTGAAGGAAATCAAGACATGAAAAGCCATTCAAAAGATAAACAAATCCAGGAGTTGGTCTTTTGAAAAAATTAATAAAATAAATAGGTCACTAGCTAGACTAATTAAAAATAAAAGAGAGAGGCTGGGCACGATGGCTCCCACCTGTAATCCCAGCACTTTGGGAGGCTGAGGCAGGTGGATCACAATGTCAAGAGATCAAGACCATCCCAGCCAACATGGTGACACCCTGTCTCTACTAAAAATACAAAAATTAGCTGGGCGTGGTGGTGCATGCCTGTAGTCCCAGCTACTTCGGAGGCTGAGGCAGGAGAATCACTTGAACCTGGGAGGTGGAGGTTGCAGTGAGCCGAGATCATGCCACTGTACTCACGCCTGGTGACAGAGCAAGACCCCCCTCAAAAAATAAAATAAAATAAAATAGAGAAGATTCAAAAAGCACAGCTTAGAAACAATGAAGGGAATGTTGCTACTGACCCCACAGAAATAAAATCATCCCATCAGTAACTACTATAATTACCTCTATGCACACAAACTAGAAATCCTAGAAGAGACAGATAAATTCCTGGACACATACACCTTCCCAAGACGGAGCCAGGAAGAGACTGATTCCCTGAACAAATTAATAACAAGCTCTGCAATTGAATCAGTGATAAATAGTCTATCAACCAAACAAAAGCCCTGATGGATTCACATATGACTAGCCAGTTATCCCAGCACCGTTTATTGAACAGGACCTGATGGATTCACAACCAAGTTCTACCAGATGTACAAACAAGAGCTGGTACTATTTCTACAGAAACTATTCCAAAAAATTGAGGAGAAGGGACTTCTCCCCAGCTCATTCTATGAGGCTACATCATCTTGATACTAAAACCTGGTAGAGACACAACAGAGAAAGAAAACCTCAAGCCAACATTCTTGATAAACATCAATGCAAAAACCCTCAACAAAACACTTGCAAACCAAATCCAGAAGCATATCAAAAAGCTAATCCACCATGATCAGGCAGGCTTCGTCCCTGGGATATGAGGTTGGTTCAACATACAAAAATTAATAAATGTGATTTATCACATGAACGGAACTAAAGACAAAAACCATATGATTATCTCAACAGAAGCAGAAAAAGCTTTTGATAAAATTCAACATCCCTTCATGTTACAAAAAACTCCCCATAAACTAGGCATTGAGGGAAAATACCTCAAAATAATAAGAGCCATCTATGACATACCCACAGCCAATATCATAATGAAGGGGTAAAAGCTGGAAGCATTCCTCTTGAAAACCAGCACAAGACAAGGATGTCCTCTCTCACCGCTTCCATTCATTGTAGTATTGAAAGTCCAAGCCAGAGCAATCAGGGAAGAGAAAGAAAGAAAGTGCATCCAAATAGGAAGAGAGGAAGTCAAACTATCTCAGTTTGTAGGCAACATGATTCTATATATAAAATATTCATAGTCTCAGCCCAAAAGCTCCTTTGGCAGTAACTTCAGCTAAGTTGCAGGATACAAAATCAATGTACAAAAATCACTAGCATTCCTATACACCAACATCAACCAGATTGAGAGCCAAATCAGAAAAGCAATTCCATTCATAACTGCCACAAAAAATACCTAGGAATACAGCTAATCAGGGAAGTGAAAGATCTTTACAATGAAAATTACAAAACACTGCTCAAATAAATCAGAGAAGACACCCAAAAATATGGAAAACATCCCTTGCTCATGGATAGGAAGAATCAATATCACTAAAATGGCAATATTGCCCAAAGTAATTTATAAATCCAATTCTATTCCTATCAAATTGTCTTCACAGAACTAGAAAGAATTTCTTTAAAGATATATGGAACAAAAAAAAATAGCCTGAATAACTAAGGCAACCTTGAACAAAAAAAAAAAAAAAAAAACTAGAGGAATCACATTACATGACCTCAAACTATACTACAAGGCTACAGTGACCAAAACAGCATGGTACTAAAAACAGGCACATAGACTGATGGAACAGAACAGAGAGCCCAAAAATAAGGCTGCAAATCTATGGCCATCTGAACTTTGACCAAGCTGACAAAACAAGCAGTGGGAAAAAGATGCCCTATTCAATAAATGCTGCTGTAATAAGTGGTTAGTCATATGCAGAGATTGAAGCTAGACCCCTCCATTACACCATATATAAAAATCAACTTAAGATGGATTAAAGACTTAAGTGTAAAACCCAAAACTATAAAACCCTTGGAAGACAACCTAGGCAATACCATCCCATACCTAGGAAAAGGCAAAGATTTTATGACAAAGACACCAAAAGCAATTGCAACAAAAGCAAAAATTGACAAATGGGATCTAATTGAGCTTAAGAGCTTTCACACAGCAAAAGAAGCTATCAACAGAGTAAATTGACAACCCACAGAATGGGAGAAAATATTTGAGAACTATGCATCTGACAAAGGTCCAATATCCAGCATCTATAAGAAACTTAAAAAAATTTACAAGAGAAAGCCCATCGGAAAGTGGGCAAAGGACATGAACAGACACTTTGTCAAAAGAAGACATACATGTGGCCAAGAAGCATATTTTAAAGCTCAACATCACTGATCATTAGAGAAATGCAACTCAAAACCACAATGAGATACCCGAATGACGCATTATTATTATTATTTTTTGAGACAGAGTCTCACTCTGTTGCTCAAGCTGGAATGCAGTAGCCTGATTTTGGCTCACTGCAACTTCTGCCTCCTGGGTTCAAGAGATTCTTCTGCCTCAGCCCCCCGAGTAGCCGAGACTACAGGCATGTACCACCACACCCAGCTAGAGAATGACTATTATTAAAAAGTCAAAAAATAATAGATGCTGGTGAGGTTGCAGAGAAAAAGGAACCCTTATACACTGTTGATGGGAGTATAAATTAGTTCTACCATTGTGGAAAGCAGTATGGATATTCCTCAAACAGCTAAAAGTAGAACTAACATTTAACCCAATGATCCCATTACTGGGTATATACCCAGAGGAATATAAATCATCCTACCATAAAGACACACTCCTGTAATTGTTCATTGCACTCTTCACAATAGCAAAGACACAGAATCAACTTAAATGCCCATCAATGACAGACTGGATAAAGAAAAATGTGGTACATATACACCACGGAATATTATGCAGCCATAAAAAAGAGTAAGATCATGTATTTTGTGGAAACACAGATGGAGCTGGAGGCTATGATCCTTAGCAAACTAACACAGGAACAGAAAACCAAATACCACACATTCTCACTTATAAGTGGGAGCTAAATGATAAGAATTTATGAACGCAAAGAAGGAAACAACAGACACTAGGTGGATAATGGGAGGAGGGGGAGAAGCAGAAAAAATAACTCGGGTACAGAGTGTAATACCTGGGTGATGTAGTAATATGTACAGCAAATCCCCATAACACATGTTTATGTATGTAACAAACCTTCACATGTAGCCCCAAACCTAAAACAACTTTTTAAAGTCATGCTGGAAAAGTAGGGTAGCAGACGGTTTCAAGGAAAAGCAACAGATAGGTCCCAGAAGTCAGAGGGACACAGAGAGCCAGGGAACTGCCGGTAGTCAGGTGTGGCTGGGGCATAGGGTGGTTGCAAGGCTATCAGAGAGCTAGATAAGCCAGTTTATAAAAGGACTTGGTAGTCTAGCTGTGGTTGAGTTTTATCACAGAGACTTTGATCATGAGCCAAAGGATACAATTCTGGAAGAGAAGAAATGGAAAGGATGGAGATAAAGCCAGAAAATGTGGGGGCTGAATAATTTAGAGTCTCGGAGAAGAATTTATTCTGAGTAAACGGAAAAGCCATTGAAAGCTGTATACAGTGGAGTGAAATGGTGATATTTATAATATAAAGTGTCACTGGAGAGACAGAACATAGGCACAAAATGATGAGGAGAGTGGGGAAGAGAGGAACCAGCATGAGCTCCTCTACTGTGTGTCTGGCATGAAGCTCAACAATTTATACACATTGTATCATTTAATCCTCACCTCTGACAAATAGGAATCATTATTGTTCCCCAAGTTACAGATGGAAAAGCTGTGTAAATACAATCAGAAGTAGGAAGAGAATGAAAGCTAATGAAAAGTGACTAGATTTAACTGGGAAATAGTGCTTCAGGACCTTGGAGAGAGCTGTATCCTCTTGTGGCAAAAGCCAGATCCTAAGTTAAAGACTAGTTGAGAGGGTTAAGAAAAGCCTCATGGGCAGCAAGCCACATTGCCATGTATGTACCTATGCAACAATCCTGCATGTTCTGCACATATACCCCAAAACCTAAAGTGCAATAAATAAATAAATAAATATATATATATATATATATTTTATATATATGAAAAAGAAAAGCCTCATGAATGAAAAGGTATTTAAGTCAGATATCAAAGGGCAGCTAGGATGGTTGTAGGAGGAGGGTATCTTATTCTTCTCTCTCTTTCTCATACAACCTTGTAGGCGCCAAGAAGAGAGAGGTGTCCAGAAGTTCCGTGCTTTCGTCCTTGTCTCAAATTTTCAAAAGGACATAGCAAAAATGAGACATCAAGTATCTGTAGTAAAAGGAGATGCAGAAGAAATTGCAGACCACTGGTAAATATCCTAAGAACCAGATAAGATGGTCCCTGGAAGAGGATAGGGTGTTGGTATTACAAGATCACAATTGATTCCACTGTCCTTCAAGGCATAGAGAGGCATTACTCCAAAACTCTCACTGGCCAGTAGGATCCCCCCTGCCACAGACACACTAAATCCAGAGCACGATCAGGCCCAGAACTCTGAAATCACACATAACCCAACCCATTGTGTTCTCCATACTTACCTGCTGTTTGATTCAGACTTGCAAATAAGGACAGCCTTGCCAGGCCCTGAGGAACAGGCAGATGAGGCATATCAACATGAAAATTTTCTACAGGTTATGAGGTCTATGGGGTAGTGATCACTACATCCACCCAAGTAATGTAAACCCTTAAAAATGCAAAACTAGGCAGGCGTATCCCAGAAACACTGTGCCCCAGCACAAGGGTGATGATAAGTAACAACAAAAAAGCAACATGAATTGAGTGATTACTGGATGGCAGTCACTACGTAAGCAAGTTACATAAATTGTCTATTTTGTTTCCCCCAACAAAATAATCTTGGAAGGTACATATTAACCCCCACTTCACAAACAAGGAAGCAGAGAGGCAGAGGGGCAAATTCACTTGTCAAAGGTCACACCAGCAGTAAATGGTGAATTTAGGATTCAAACCCCTGTCTAACATCATCTGTATGTTCACCTGCAATGTAGAATTGGAATCTACTGAACTGTGGTGTCCCAAACCCCATCCTAGCAGGGTGAATACATTAAGATCTAAGAGTAAGATGAGAAAGTAAAACATGTACCCAGAATCCCTTCCATGAGTTTAATAATGTGAAACAGGAACTTATAAGCAGGTCCCTGGAGTCTTTGCAGAGTTGGAACTTCTACACAACCACGCATCCAAGGACATCACTTTCTCACAAGCGATGTCTGGCCCTGAAGATACATGAGGCTTTTAAGAGGGACCCTCTTATGAAAGGGAGGAAGAGTCTTTTGCAAACCCTCTTCCCTCTGTGGGATGGAAGTGGGTGGGGGGAGGAGGAAAGGGAGTTATGAACTAACTCACATAAATAGGAGGAAACTGATGCTGGTCCTCCCACAGTGGGATTCAGCCTACATCTCTAATAGTGGAATTTCCGGTGTTATTATGGGGGAAGTAATTGCCCTCCATAGTAACATTAAAAATCAAGTCAAACAAACCACAGCCTAATAAGAGTGATGTTGAATTTGTAGTTCTTCATTCATCCAATTGCTCATTCAGTCTTTCAAATGATAGTTATTGAGCACCTACTGTCAGTAAGGCAGCATTCTAGCACTTTGAATACTGAGTAACTCAGATGAGGTTCCTTTTCTCCTCAATGAAATTGTATTCTAAACAAGGAGACAGGAATCAATATAATAAATATATATCCTAAATTACAAAGAAGTGTGAGAAGCCCAAAATACATAATAGATGATCAATTTCATCTTCAAAATTTTCCACAATGGGCACATATATAGCAAGGGGTGAGGGAGTTGTGTGTTTTTTTTTTTTTAAGAGATCCACCTGCCTTAAGAACTGATCACATCTGAACCATCTCCTTAGGTTAGACCTAAAGTAGGTTAGATGAAGTACATTCTTCAAGGACGGATTCCAAAACTACTCTCATATTCACATAACACTGAAATACACAAAGCTTTAACCCAACCTTGCTCATTAGTCAAAGAGATAGAAAATGCACACACAAACGCATACACATACACACCATCTTGTGTGTGACAGCCTTCTGCATTCTTGAAGACATCCCACAGATGTGTGTATGTCCACTCTGACTTGATTAACCCTAAGAGAAGCTTAGATACCAAAGTCCCTCCCTTTCTCCTAACATTTCACATTGTCTGACAGAAAAATAACAAATGCATCCCTTGAAAGCACACCCTTGTTCTATTTTTTAATGAAATGCAAGTCATTCTCCATCTTTTCCTACCCCTAAAAGTAAAGACATGCCTGATCTGTGGGCCACAGAGGAAAGGCCCCCAGATAAAGAGTCCTGTTGCCCTGGAGACATCACAGAGTAGCAGAAAGAGAAAGGAGATGGATGGCCAGAGGTGCTCAGATCTTCCAGCAGCTTCCTAACTTGCCCTCTCCTCTCGGAATTGAAGGTACTTTGATCTGTTGTCCAAACTGCCAGAGGATCTAAAGAACTTCCGGCCTGCCAAAAAGATCCTAGTGAAACTGCAGAAGTTTGGGGAAAACCTGGACCTGCGGATTCGACCCCACGTCCTCCTGAAGGTGCTGCAGGATCTGAGGATTTGGGAACTGTGCTCCCCTGACATTGCTGTGGCTATTGAGGTAACCACCACCTCCTTTCCCCCCAGTGTTTCAGGTGTCCTCATTCCATCACCTCTCAACATTCAGGCACTGTTTAAGTGCTGGGGACATAAAGGCCATTCCATTTATGGAGCTTATATTCTAATAGGAGAGGGATAGTCCCATTACCTGGTTGCCTAACTCTAACTGCAAGGGACATTATATTCTATGTAAATGGTACTCCCTGGAAACTCAGAGGCTTTGGAGTGGCATACAAAATGGGCAGTTATAATAAGGAGTCCTTTATCTTGCTACTTAAAGTGTGGTTCGTGGACTCCAGCAGCATGGACCTCACCTGGATGCTTGTTAGAAATGCAGAATCACAGGCTTCAAGTCAACCTGCCAACTCCAAGTTTATATTTTAATGGGATTCCATGTGTCTTGTATGCACCATACAGTTTGAGGAGCCCTGGGTATAAGTTAGAAGAAATCTACCTTAACTCAGGCAACTGAGAAGGTGACTTTTACAGTGAGACCTCAACCGTGAGAAGACGACACCATGAAGAGAAAGAGAAAGAGCAGATCGAGAAGAGAAGACAGCACGTGCAACAATCCCAAAGCAGCACATGACTGACTTGGGAGAACTCACTGGCAGTCAATGAGTGTGGAAGGAAGTGGGCAAGGAGTGCTTGGTTCACAGGGGATTGGAGAGGTCAGTCCATGCTGACCTTTGAGGTTCAATACAAAAATTTAGGAGCCACTAAACAGTTTTCAGTAGTTGGTCACCATCATCACCAGAGGAAGTTCCTGGTGCTCTGTCAAAAGGCACCGGCGATACAAGGACTCCACAGTGAGGGGTTAGCAGAGGCTAATGAATACATTTCTTTAGTTTTATCAGATGGCCTATGTGCATTTTAACAGGGCCTTCAATGCCTCCCTCCTGGTAAAGAAGTGACTCAAAAGGTCCAATTCTCAGACCTTGAACAGGCTATGGAGCATTTGACATTTTCATGCCAGGTGGGCCTTTCCACCGGATGACCTGGATGTGTTAATGAGGGCAAGGTTAAGAGTGGAAGGAGGAGGATGACCTTGTAGACAAATTCGAATGCCCAGACTGCACTCCCCAGTCTGGGGAGTATGAAGCTTCTTCAGGAAAGACTCTAGCAGGTTAGGCCAAAACTAACTCTAGGGCAACTTCCACCTCCTACTTACCGGCTATGGGGTCCAACCTCCACCTGAAGTTGTGAAGGACTTGGAAAAGGTAGTCCCTGCATGGGTAAAAAGAGTACCAGGGGCTCCACTTTTATTTGAGGTGAGTCCACAGCCCTGGCTAATAAAACTTAGCATGCTCTTCTCCCAGTGAGAACATCACATATATATATATGATGTGTACCTATGTAACAAATGTGCAGGTTTGTTACATAGGTATACATGTGCCATGGTGGTTTGCTGCACCCATCAACCCATCATCTACATTAGGCATTTCTCCTAATTCTTTCCCTCCCCCGGACCCCCACCCCTGACAGGCCCTGGTGTATGATGTTCCCCTCCCTTCGTCCATGTGTTCTCATTGCTCAACTCCCACTTATGAGTGAGAATATGAGGTGTTTGGTTTTCTGTTTCTGTGCTAGTTTGCTGAGAGTTATGGTTTCCATGTCATAGTGTCATCCATGTCCCTGCAAAGGACATGAACTCATCCTTTTTAATGGTTGCATAGTATTCCATGGTGTATATGTGCCATGTTTTCTTTATATAGTCTATCATTGATGGGCATTTGGGTTGGTTCCAAGTCTTTACTATTGTGAATACTGTCACAATAAACATAAGTGTCCATGTGTCTTATAGTAGAATGATTTCTAATCCTTTGGGTATATACCCAGTAATGGGATTGCTGGGTCAAATGGCATTTCTGGTTCTAGATCTTTGAGAAATTGCCACACTATCTTCCACAATGATTGAACTAATTTATACTCCCACCAACAGTGTAAAAGCATTTCTATTTCTCCACATCCTCTTCAGCATCTGTTTCCTGACTTTTTAATAATTGCCATTCTAACTGGTGTGAGATGGTATCTCATTGTGGTTTTGATTTGCATTTCTCTAATGACCAGTGATGATGAACTTTTTTTTCATATGTGTTTTGGCCACATAAATGACTTATTTTGAGAACAGACATTTAAATGTCTGTTCATATCCTTTGCCCACTTTTTGAAGGCGTTGTTTTTGTCTTGTAAATTTGTTTAAGTTTCTTGTAGATTCTGAATATAAGCCCTTTGTCAGATGAATAGATTGCAAATTTTTTCTCCCATTCCATAGGTTGCCTGTTCACTCTGATGGTAGTTTCTTTTGCTGTGTGGAAGCTCTTTAGTTTAATTAGATCTCATTTGTCAATTTTGGCTTTTGCTGCCATTGCTTTTGGTGTTTAGTCATGAAGTCTTTGCCAATGCCTATGTCCTGAATGGTATTGCCTAGGTTTTCTTCTAGGGTTTTTATGGTTTTAGGTCTTACATTTAAGTCTTTAATCCATCTGGAGTTAATTTTTGTGTAAGGTGTAATGAAGGGATTCAATTTTCTGCATATGGCTAGCCAGTTTTCCCAATGCTATGTATTAAATAGGGAATCTTTTCCCCATTGCTCGTTTGTGTCAGTTTTGTCAAAGATCACATGGTTTTATATGTATGAGGTTATTTCTGAGGCCTCTGTTCTGTTTCATTGGTCTATATATCTGTTTTGGTACCAGTACCATGCTGTTTTGGTTACTGTAGCTTTGTAGTATAGTTTGAATTCAGGTAGCATGATGCCTCTAGCTTTTTTCTTTTTGCTTAGGATTGCCTTGGCTATATGGGCTCTTTTTTGGTTCCATATGAAATTTAAAGTAGTTTTTTCTAATTCTGTGAATAAAGTCAATAGTATCTTAATGGGGATAGTATTGAATCTATAAATTACTTTGGGCAGTATGGCCATTTTCACAATACTGTTTCTTCCTATCCATGAGCATTGAATGTTTTTCCATTTGTTTGTGTCCTCTCTTATCTCCTTGAGCAATGATTTGTAGTTTTCCTTGAAAAGGTCCTTCACATCCCTTGTAAGTTGTATTCCTAGATATTTAATTCTCTTTGTAGTAATTGTGAATGGGAGTTCACTCATGATTTGGCTCTCTGTTTGTCTATTATTGGTGTATAGGAATGCTTGTGATTTTTGCATATTGATTTTGTATCCTGAGACTTTGCTGAAGTTGCTTATCAGCTTAAGGAAATTTGGGGCTAACATAATGGGGTTTTCTAAATATATAATCATGTCATCTGCAAACAGAGACAATTTGGCTTCCTCTCTTCCTATTTGAATACCCTTTATTTCTTTCTCTTGCCTGATTCCCCTGGCCAGAACTTCCAATACTATATTGAATAGGAGTGGTGAGAGAGGGCATCCTTGTCTAGTGCCAGATTTCAAAGGGAATGCTTCCAGCTTTTGCCCATTCAGTCTGATATTGCCTGTGGGTTTGTCATAAATAGCTCTTATTATTTTGAGATACGTTCCAGCAACACCGAGTTTATTGAGAGTTTTTAGCATGAAGGGGTGTGGAATTTTATCAAAGGCCTTATCTGCATCTATTGAGATAATCATGTGGTTTTTGTCATTGGTTCTGTTTGTGTGATGGATTACATTTATTGATTTGTTTATGTTGAACCAGCCTTGCATCCCAGGGATGAAGCCAGCTTGATCGTGGTGGATAAGCTTTTTGATGTTTGCTGAATTCAATTTCCCAGTATTTTATTGAAGATTTTCACATCAATGTTCATCAGGGATATTGGCCTGAAATTTTCTTTTCTTTTCTTTTTCCTTTTATTCTTTTTATTTTTTATTTTTTCTGGTTGTTGCTGTTGCTGTTGTCTCTCTGCCAGGTGTTGGTATCAGGATGATGTTGGTCTCATGAAATGAGTTAGGGAGGAATTCGTCTTCTTCTAGTCTTTGAAATAGTTTCAGAAGGAATGGTACCAGCTCCTCTTTGTACTGCTGGTAGAATTCAGCTGTGAATACATCTGGTCCTGGGTATTTTTTGGTTGGTAGGATATTAATTACTGCCTCAATTTCAGAACTTGTTATTGATCTATTCAGGGATTCAACTTCTTCCTGGTTTAGTCTTGGGAGGGTGTATGTGTCCAGGAATTTATCCATTTCTTCTAGATTTTCTAGTTTATTTGCACAGAGGCATTTACAGTATTCTCCAATGGTAGTTTGTATTTCTGTGGGATCAGTGGTGATATCCCTTTATCATTTTTTATTGTGTCTATTTGATTCCTCTCTCTTTTCTTCTTTATTAGTCTGGCTAGCAGTCTATCTATTTTGTTAATCTTTTCAAAAAATCAGCTCCTGGATTCATTGATTTCTTGAGGGGTTTTTCATGTCTCTATCTCCTTCAGTTCTAGTTATTTCTTGTCTTCTGCTAGCTTTTTAATTTGTTTGCTCTTTCTTCTCTAGTTCTTTTAATTGTGATGTTAGGGTGTCGATTTCTCCTGTGGGCATTTAGCGCTATAAACTTCCCTCTAAACACTGCTTTAGCTGTGTCCTAGAGATTCTGGTACATTGTGTTTTTGTTCTCATTGATTTCAAAGAACTTATTCATTTCTGCCTTAATTTCGTTATTTATCATTCAGGAGCATTCAGGAGCAGGTTGTTCAGTTTCCATGTAGTTGTGCAGTTTTGAGTGAGTTTCTTAATCCTGAGTTCCAACTTGATTACACTATGGTCTGAGAGATAGTTTGTTATGATTTCCATTCTTTTGCATTTGCTGATGCATGTTTTACTTTTGATTATGTGGTCAATTTTAGAATAAGTGTGATATGGTGCTGAGAAGAATGTATATTCTGTTGATTTGGGTTGGTGAGTTCTGTAGCTGTCTATTAGGTCCACTTAGTCCAGAGCTTAGTTCAAGTCCTGAATATCCTTGTTAATCTTCTGTCTCATTGATCTAATATTGACAGTGGGGTGTTAAAGTCTCCCACTACTATTGTGTGGGAGTCTAAGTCTCTTTGTAGGTCTCTAAGAACTTGCTTTATGAATCTGGGTGCTCCTGTATTGGGTGCATGTATATTTAGGATTGTTAGCTCTTCTTGTTGCATTAATCCCTTTGCCATCATGTAATTCCCTTCTTTGTCTTTTTTGATCCTTGTTGGTTTAAAGTCTGTTTTATCAGAGACTAGGATTGCAACTCCTGCTCTTTTTTTATGCATTCCACTTGCTTGGTAAATATTCCTCCATCCCTTTATTTTGAGCCTATGTGTGTCATTGCATGTGAGATGGGCCTCCTGAATACAGCACACAGATGGGTCTTGACTCTTGATCCAGTTTGCCAGTCTGTGTGTTTTAATTGGGGCATTTAGCCCATTTACATTTAAGGTTAATATTGCTATGAGTGAATTCGATCCTGTCATTATGATGCTAGCTGGTTATTTTGCCCATTAGTTGATGCAGTTTCTTCATAGTGTCAATGGTCTTTATAATATGGTATGTTTTTGCAGCGGCTGGTACCAGTTTCTCCTTTCTATATTTAGTGCTTCCTTCAGGAGCTCATCTAACGCAGGCCTGGTGGTGACAAAATCTCTCAGCATTTGCTTGTCTGTAAAGGATTTTATTTCTCCTTCATTTATGAAGCTGAGTTTGGCTGGATATGAAATTCTGGGTTGAAAATTCTTTTCTTTAAGAGTGTTGAATATTGTCCCCACTCTGTTCTGGCTTGTAGGGTTTCTGCAGAGAGATCTGCTGTTAGTCTGATGGGCTTCCCTTTGTGAGTAGCCTGACCTTTCCCTCTCGCTGCCCTTAACATTTTTTCCTTCATTTCAACCTTGGTGAATCTGATGATTATGTGTCTTCAGGTTGCTCTTCTCAAGGAGTATATTTGTGGTGTTCTCTGTATTTCCTGAATTTGAATGTTGGCCTGTCTTGCTAGGTTGGGGAAGTTCTCCTGCATAATATCCTGAAGAATGTTTTCCAACTTGGTTCCATTCTCCCTGTCACTTTCAGATACACCAATCAAATGTAGGTTTGCTCTTTTCACATAGTCCCACATTTCTTGGAGGCTTTGTTCATTCTTTTTCATTTGTTTTTCTCTGATCTTGTCTTCACACTTTATTTCATTACGTTGATCTTCAGTCTCTGATATTCTTTCTTCCACTTGATCAATTCAGCTATTGATACTTGTATATGCTTCACAAAGTTCTCATGCTGTGTTTTTCAGCTCCATCAGGTGATTTATGTTCTTCCGTAAACTGATTATTCTAGTCAGCAATTCCTCTAACCTTTTTTTAAGATTCTTAGCTTCCTTGCATTGGGTTAGAACATTCTCCTTTAATTTGGAGGAGTTTGTTATTACCCACCTTCTGAAGCCTACTTCTGTCAATTCATCAAACTTATTCTCTGTCCAGTTTTGTTCCCTTGCTGGCTAGGAGTTGCAATCCTTTGGAGGAGAAGAGGCAGTCTGGTTTTTGGAATTTTCAGCCTTTTTGCACTGGTTTTTCCTCATCTCCATGGATTGATCTATCTTTGGTCTTTGTTGGTGACCTTCAGAAGGGGTTTTTGTGTGGACATCCTTTCTGTTGATTTTGATGTAATTCCTTTCTGTTTGTTAATTTTCTTTCTAATAGTTAGGACCCTCTGCTGCAGGTCTGCTGGAGTTTGCTGGAGGTCCACTCCAGATCCTGTTTGCCTGGGTATCACCAGCAGAGGCTACAGAATGGCAAACATTGCTGCCTGTTGTTTCCTCTGGAAGCTTCATCCCAGAGGGGCACCCACCAGATGCCAGCTGTAGCTCTCCTGTATGAGGTGTCTGTTGACCCCTGCTGGGAGGTGTCTCCCAGTCAAGAGGAGGCAGTCCATCCCTTAGCAGAGCTCAAGCGCTGTGCTGGGAGATCCACTGCTCTCTTCAATGCCAGCAGGCAGGAATGTTTAAGTCTGCTGAAGCTGCACCTACAGCTGCCCATTCTCCCAGGTGCTGTGTTTCAGGGAGATGGGAGTTTTATCTATAAAACCCTGCCTGGAGCTGCTGCCTTTCTTTCAGAGATGCCTTGCTCAGAGAGGAGTATCTAGAGAGGGAGTCTGACTACTGCAGCTTTGCCAAGCTATGGTGGGCTCCACCCAGTTTGAACTTCCTGGAGGCTTTGTTTATAATGTGAAGGAAAAACCACCTACTCAATCCTCAGTAATGGTGGATTCCCCTCCCCACCACCAAGCTCCAGCATCCCAGGTTAACTTCAGACTGCTGTGCTGGCAGTGAGAAATTCAAGGCAGTGGATCTTAGCTTGCTGGGCTCCTTGGAGGTGGGATCCACTGAGCCACACCACTTGGCTCCCTGACTTCAGCCCTCTTTCTAGGGGAGTGAATGGTTCTGTCTCACTGGCATTCCAGGCACCACTGGGGTATGAAAATAAAACTCCTGCAGCTAGCTTGGTGACTGCCCAAACAGCCACCCAGTTTTGTGCTTGAAACCCAAGGCCCTGGTTGTGTAGGCACCCAAGGGAATCTCCTGATCTTCAGATTGTGAAGACCATGGAAAAAGCGTAGTATCTGGGTTGGAATTCACCATTCCTGACAGCACAGTCCCTCACGGCTTCCCTTGGATAGGGGAGGGAGTTCCCTGACCCCTGCCCTTCCCGGTTGAGGCAATGCCCCACCCGGCTTTGGCTCACTCTCTATGGGCTACACCCACTGTACTGGCTACACCAGTCCCAGTGAGATGAGATGAGTACCTCAGTTGGAATGTAGAAATCACTCACCTTTTGTGTTGATCTGACTGGGAGCCGCAGACCAGAGCTGTTCCTGTTCAGCCATCTTGCCAGCCACCCAACATCACAGAACTTCTAATAACCTGGTTATGGGGGTCTACATGAAACTCTGCCTTTTGTGTGTCTTAAACCCTGTCCAGGAAAGCAAGCCCATAGCTGTTGCCAATTCTCAAAGGGATCTACAAACCAAAAATGTTTAGAGACAAAAGATTTTTGAAAAGATATTAAGGAGTGGAAAAGAAAGAAAAATGCATATAGCTGGGATTTCCTGCCCTCCCCAAATTTCCTTGCATCAGTAGCAACAAGGAGGGGCTTAAAATTAGCCTGCTGAGCTAGGAAGCTGGAAAGAGATCCTCTTCCCCAAAGGACTACTTCAATCTGATGCTCTAAGCATTATGAATGCCTGAATGGTATTCCTGGGGCCACCAGTCTTAACCACAAATCTTCCAGGATCTTGAGGGGAGGGAGAGAAGGTGGAGTCTACTTTTTAGACCAAATTCTGAGATTGTCGCTGTGCCTGCCCCACAGTTTGTACGAGAACACATCATCCATATGCCTCAAGAGGATTACATCAACTGGCTGCAGAACCGGATCAACATACCCATCGGGCCCTATGGCACCCTGACGTAGGCTGGGCCTGGGTTGACCAGCTGTTGCGGTGGAGGAGGGTTTACCTATATCATGCTCCTGTATCCTTCCTGTGTTCCTGCCTCCTGACTACCCTCATGGATGCTCTTTATGGATGACCTTTTATAGTAGGGTCATCTGGAGACTGACCTCCGGCAACATTTTAAAGGGGGATGGTCCCAGGTGGCCTTCCTCTAAATTCTACACCCCAGACACAACCTACCAGTCTCTTTTCTTCAATGGTCCAGCCTGAATCTACCTTCTTCCTCTTCAGATTTCTTCACCCTATTTATCTTCCTCAAATACTGGAGAATAAAATTGAACTGAATGTTTGACGTCTGTCTGGAAAGAGTTGGGGCCATGGAATTCGGGTGTAGTATTTGGATCCTAATAACAATAGTTACCATTTATTGAGACCCAGTGCTGAGTGCTTTACCTAGATAATACCATTTCAGTCTCATGATAACTTGGTTAAGCACTGATATTAGCTTAATTTCACACTGATTAAGCTAAAGCATATTTCTCAATATTATATATATACTGCATTGGATGGGTGGCTGGATGGATGGTTTGATGGATGGATGGATGGGTAGATGGGTGGATGGGTGGATAGGGAGACATATGGATGGATGGATAGATGGATGGATGGATGGTTTGCATGGTTGCCTGGTTGGATGGTTGCATGGTTAGATGAATGGATGGATGGATGGATGGATGGATGGATGGATGGATGAATGGTGGATAGATGGATTGATGGATTGATGGATGGGTGGATTGATGGCACATTCCCCAACAAGGCAATAGTATGCAATAAAATTTTAGCCTTGAGTCCTCGTATGTTTTCTGTTGGTCTTAGTTACAGGAAGGAAGCTTATCTTCCTATCATCTCAAAATGCGTGTGGACTCATAACCTCTTTTTTCACCTTGGTCTTATGCTCACCTACATTCTCACTAAGTTATAGAAACTGTAGGCATTTTAATTCCCTTAGTGATGGCCATGCTGCATTACCAATTGGACAACTAGACTTGATTTGCTCTTGTGCCTGGATTATCAGAGCCTTTGTGTAGGGTGGACTTGAACCTCTCTCTCTCTGGAAATCTAAAAGTGGGGAGGAGAGTTAAATTCAAATTATTCTTCAATCTAAGCAACATCACACTCATCCATTCACCTATTCAATCATTTATTCATTCAATGAATATTTATTGAGAGCCCAATATGCACCAACCAAGTCCTAGATGCTGAAGTTACAGCAATGAACAAGGCAGACAAGTCCCTGTTCTCATGGAGTTTGTCATTTTTTTATTTCTTCTTTTTTGACACATGGTCCAAGATGAGATCATGGAGTCCACATAAAACCAGAGAAGTCAATAAAATGCGACACGGAGGGCAGAGGGATTATGTAACATCACACGTCCCTCCACAGAGATACCCTATGGTTAACAGTAAACCTTGAAAAAGGAGTATTCAGGGTACAAAGGTGAGATACAATCTACAAGAAAACTACCAAATGAAGAGACCCTACAGGTCTCTGTATTAAATAGGAATTTGCATGAGGGAGAAGCAGAGAAGAAAGAAGGAGAACCTAACAAGGAGAAAAACAGGACAAAGGAGGTAGGGGAGGAAAAGGGAGCTGAGCAACAGGAGGGTAGAAGGGACTGTGGGAGAAAACCAATCGGGGTGGGGTGAGGGGAACAGGGCGGGGCTAGCTGGTGGATCTCTAAGAACTACAATGCAAACCAGCCCCTCCACTTCATCCTCTGGACCTTTAGTAGTTTCTGTTACACACTCAACTGTCTTCTGTGAGCAATGCTTTGAGGACATAAAGAAAAGGGGCTGTGTTCTACATCTGGGTTGCTCAGGGCAAAAAAGGGGGCTTGCGGTACTTAGATCCTGAACAGTAAAGAGTTCAGAGCCTGGCAAGGTGGTTCAGGCCCCTAATACCAGTGTTTTTGGAGGCCAAGGTGAGAGAATCCTTTGAGGCTAAGAGTTCAACACCATCCTGGGCAGCATAGTGAGACGCCATCTCTACAGAATAAAATTGTTCTTAAAATTAGCCAGTAGTACCATCTGTCGTCCCAGCTGCTCAGAAGGCTGAGGCAGGAGGATCGCTTGAGCCCAGGAGGTCAAGAGTGCAGTGAGCCGTGATCACACCACTGTACCCCAGTCTGAGCAAAAGAGCAAGACCCTGTCTCAAAAAAAAAAAAAAAAGAGTGTAGTAGGAACAGCATGTCAAAACTAGAGACACTGCTATTACCCGAGCTCTCAAGGTTTATAGAAACCTTAAACAGACATTTGGCTTCTCACTAGACATGGGGCAGGAGCCCAACCAAATTGAAATATACCTCAAATGTCGGGTGACCATCACAGCTGAGATTTAATTACACTAGATCATCAGTGCAATGGTGGCAAATTAAAACAAGTACAAAAAGATCCCAGTGGACATGAGGGAAGGGGGCACTAACTCATACTTGAGATGTCAGGAAAGGCTTTTGAGAGGAAGTGATTGATACCTCTAAGATGATCTAGAGTTATCCAGAAAGAGATGGGTAGGCAGAGAAGGAGGGAAGAAAAAATGTTCCAGGCAGAAGGAACAGCATGTGCAAAGGTCCAGAGGCAAAAAGAAGCTTAATTTGTCATTTGAGGACCTAAACATAACTCCAGCTGGGTCATATTTTGAATTGGGGGTACAGGACAGAGAAAGGGAGAAGGAAGGTTGGGGAGGTAAGTAGAAGCCAGATCTTTTAGATACCTTATAGGCCATGTTAGGAAGTTTGGACTTTATCTTCCTGGAAATAGGAATCCACGGAAGGATTTTGGGGAAGGGAATAATTATGTTTGCTTTCGGGGGCAGGGAAATGGCACCCACAAGGAACAGGGAGCTAAGATGAGGCTGTGGCAGTGATTGTGGGGAGAGCAATGGTGGTGGAGATGGAGTGAAGATACTCATTGAAAAGATATTTAAACAGCAGAATCAACAGAACTTGGTGTGATGGATTATAAGTAAGGGCTGGGAGGGCAGGAATATAAGGAATCATGAGTGGAAGGTGATGCCTTCAATGTACCAGGAGAAGAGGAAGAAAAGTTCATAATGAGAAGGTGAAGAGTTATGTTTTAAGCATATTGAGTTGGAGATGCCTGAGGGGCAGTCAGGTAGGGGGGATGCATAACTCAGGAGAGAAGGCTGCATGGGAGGCAGAAACATAGCATCAATATCCCCTAGGTCAAGATGGTCAAAGGAAGAAATGGGAAAAGAGGCAAGGAGAGAAGAAGAGAGAGGGGGACTTGAGGACAGAATAACAAAAAGCATCAAGAAGCCTACTCACAAAATAACATTTACTGGCTGGACGCAGTAGCTCAAGCTTATAATCCCAGCATTTTGGGAAGCCAAGGTGGGCGGATCATCTGAGGTCAGGAGTTCGAGACCAGCCTGACCAACATGATGAAACCCTGTCTCTATTAAAAATATAAAAATTAACTGGATGTGGTGGTACATGCCCGTAATCCCAGGTACTCAAGAGGCTGAGGCAGGAGAATCCTTGAACCCGGAAGGTGAAGGTTGTAGTGAGCCCAGATCACGGCATTGCACTCCAGCCTGGGTGACAGCCTGAGAGACTCTGTCTCAAAAGAAATAAAAAATTAAGAAAATAACATTTACTGAAAGGCTGCTTTGTTCCAGACATCTTGCAAAATGCTTGGCATGTATGATCTCATTCCATCTTCAGAAGCCTGCAGAGAAGGGCTCTTGTCTCCTTCCTGTTTTGCAGATGATGAAATGGAGCCTCTGAGAAGTGTTTTGTACACATATCCAGCTGACTATGAACCCCCTCTCTCCAACCCTACCCTCCGACCTGCAGCCCCCTCTTCTACGAAACAAGGAGGTCACGAGAGTTATTGTGCTTTTGGAATGAGGAGGCTTTCCGGAATTGTATTAGCTCACATTTGTGCTGTATTCCACAGTTTCCAGAGTGCCTTCTCCAGTATTACCTTATTCGATGCTCACAGCATCCCTCTGAAGTGAACATTATTATAATCCCCATTTTACAAAGAAGGATATCAAGACTTAAGATTGGCCAATCGTCATATAGCAGGTAAGTGGCAGAGCCAAGTCTAGATTGAAGTCTGTCTGTCCCAGTCAGGGGCAATCTTGAAATTGCAAGACTTACTCCGCCCTTCCACTTGGCAGTTTCTGAGTCTGTTTCTCAGAGCTGTAGCTCCATCTAGTGGCCTTTGTCAGTATTACTCTCCCACCCAGCCCTCCAACAGAATGTCACTTTCCTGCCAAAAAAAAGAAAACAGCACCAACGAGACCTATTCTGCTTAGACGAGGAGTGTTTACTCAAACAAGCGAAGACCTTTTACTACTAAAATAGACTGGGGACTAGGACGAGTCAACACATGCCCTCTCAGCTTCCAGGTTCTAAAAAGAGCCACAGGAAGATTTTTTTTTTTTTTTTTTTTTTTTTTGCTTGTCAGCCTCTCCATCAACATCTTAATTGAGCACCTACTAGGTGCTGGATCCTGAGGAGTCACTATCCCAAGCTCTGACCAAGCCATCTGAGTGGTTAACATGAGAGTTTTCAAAACGATATGGGCCCTAGAGAAGCTCTTTTCTATAAAGCACTGGATAGTAAATATCTGCTGCATGTTCTTTTTTTATATATAGTCCTTTAAAGGTGTAAAAACCATTTGTAAATTAAAAGTCATACAAAAAGAGACCGCAGACCAGATTGGGGCCATGAGTCATTGTTTGCTGATCCCTGCTTGAGGATAAATTTAAGAGTGAAGAGGAATGTTCTAGTCTCCCCCAAAAAACAGACAAGGAGGGCTAGTGAACATAATATGGTAAATATACAGACAAAGGGGATTTGGGCACTACTCAGAATAGTTTTTGTCATTTTTGTGGAAAAGGCATGTATGCAGAGGGTAAAAATCCTAGCAGTGCAAAAGGATATGAACTCCAACTCTCAGACCCCATTTCTGTATACAGAGACTCTCACACTGTACCCAGTAACTTGTATATCTTTCCAGGGATATTCTTTGCATGTACAAGCAAAACATTTCTAATTAATTAATTAAAACGAAGCATTTACGGTGTGCTTACTGTATACCACACATTGTTCTAAGTGCTTTGCATTTAATTATAGTTTATCCTTACAACAGCTCTATGAAGTAGATATCACTCTGACCCCCCCACTTTATTCTGGAGGAAACAGGGGTATAGAAAGTTTAGAATCCTGCCCAAGGCTACATAACTTGCATAGGTAACGTTTTTTTCTTTTTAGCAGATCTCGTCAGCTTAGTATACAAACTTCTGCATTAATTTGCTA